GCCTGCCCCATTTCCAAGCCCCTCTTCAGCTTCTTCTTCTGGATCGGCTACTGCAACAGCAGCCTCAACCCCCTCATCTACACCCTCTTCAACCGGGACTTCCGCACCGCCTTCCGACGACTCCTCGCTGTCCCCCGGCGGCACCGCACCTAGAGCCCTACTGGGACACCAGGGATGTGGCTCCCAGCCCTGCTCACCACTGGCAGTGCCCGGCCCCACCATGGACTCTGGACTGCAGTGCCCATGTGTATCTTGAGGTACTTTTTGAAATGCGGGGTTGAATAAAATGAAGCCAAAGTCTGTGCCCAGGGCTGGTGTCTGCCTCCTGGGAGCCCAGCAAGCGGCATCCATTTTCACCTGGGTCACCCCACCTGTTCCCTTGCAGCGTGGGTGACCTGCTGATGGTGACAACTCACCATGGTGGTTCCAGCGAGCACCAGTCCTCCCTGCTGCCAGGTGAACCCCAGCTCGTCTGCATGCTGGTGATCCCCAGTATGCTCTTGTGCAGGGGTTGGACCCCACAGCTGCTGCGTGGGGGGATTAAATCCCCCACATGGCAGTGACTCTGGCACTGGGTTGAGGTGGCTGTGCCACCACAGCAGCCCAATGCCCCTCTGCCAGGACTGTCCCCTCCGGCTGCCCATCAGCACATAGCTGTGCCGTGCCATGGTGGAGCTCCATGGGGGCACATACCTACTCCACGGTGGGGTACAAGGGGTGCAGGGCTGTGTTGTGACACCCCATATCCCACTCAGGGGGTTCACTGGGGTCTTCCTACAGGAGGGAAAAGGAGGAATGACATCCTGGTGCCAAAGGGCTGTTCTCCCTTAGGAGAGTGTGGGAGATGGGGTTGTGTGGGAACAAGCTCCAGCACAGCTCGAGGTGTGAGGGACCATGGGGGCAACTGCAGGGAAAAGACCTGGGGGCAACCACATCCCCCCGGGGGCAGCAGCTGCCCCACACTCGCCTTGCCCGGCTCTCAGCCCCGCTTCACGCAGACACCCAGGGGTCAGGGGCCGCTCCACTTCTCCAGCTTTGAGTCTTAAAATAGAAAATCTCAAAACATTGGACTTTCACAAAGCTAAAAACAGCCACCAGCGCCTGGGAGCTGGAGCCCAAAGAACGCCAGCCCCCATCAGCCCCCACCAAACCCCACTAGGGTGGGCACAGCTTGGCCGCAGGGTCCAGGTGGCTGAAAGGGATGGGGGGTACTCACAGAGGTGAGTCTCTGTGCAACGAGGGCTGTGGCATGAGTTCTGGGACTGGCAGAAGCTCTCGGCAGGGATCGTGATGGGACGGAGACCTGGCACTGACCCTGCAGAGGCAGGCAGCCCTGGCGGTTGGGCCCACACTGGCACCATCTGCGGAAGGAGCTGCCCTATCGCTGCTGCCTGGCTTCCCCTCCTGTGGCTGCCTTTTGCCTTTTCACAGTTAAACAGCACTTTGCTTCTAAAAATACCCAGGGACATGAGGGCGCCCGGCGGGGACCCAGCCAGGCCAGCTCAGCTGGAGGAGAGGAGCTCACCCCGAGGGCCACCAGCCCCATGGGCAGCACCCCAGGGTCCTGGCTCATGCACCCTGTCCTCACCCTTGCCCGGTACTGATGGGGCTGACCAGGGGACCAGGCACTGTCCCTCCTCCTGGGCATGAGTGTGTGGCTCTGGGATGCTGCAGGGCAGGAGGGGCTGGGGATGAGCTGGAGTGGGGTCATGCAGGGACCGTCCCCAGCTTGGGCAAGGAGATGCCAGCAGCCTGTGCTGGCCTCATGGCAACATCCAAGCCACTGAAAGGAGCTTCAGGCTGATGCTGGAAACATCAAATCCTGAGGGCTGGATGGGGTCTGGGAGCACCTGGTCCTCTCCTTTGCCCCAGGCACTAGTGGGGTACTGGGGTGCTCTGAGGAGAGCTTCCCCGCAAGCACTTCCCACTGCATCGCCATCCAGTACATCGCCCTGTCCGCAGCAGACGGGTCAAGCAGGTCACTCTGTTATCTCTGCAGTAGCCATTTTCATCCCAAGGGTGTACAAAGTCTGTTTTATCTGCCACAGCATGACCCTTATTGCTGCCCTGCTCATGAGTAACCATGACCCCAGTAACATTGGGAAAGCAGCTCCCCTGGAAGCACTGATTACTGCTGCCCAACTGCAGCACCTGCACTCATCTGTCTGGAATTGCAGCCTGCATTTTCAAGCTGTTTCTTCAATTTGTCAAGATTATTTTGAATTACTCCCCTGACAGACTTGGGTTTGGAGCCCTCTCCCTCTTCAGCCGCATCTCCCCCACAGAGCTAAAAAGCAGAACCCCCTGGGCTGCCTCCAGCTCTCTTGGGGACTCTCTTGTGCTGCTTCGGCAGTGCCCGGTGGCCGATGACTCTTGCCAGTGATGGCAACACTGCTACAAAACACCAGCTGGGAGGAAACCAAAAGTAGCAACCTAAGGGTTAAGCATGCAAATGCGTGGAAACAAAATTATCTCATTCGAAGCTCAAAATACCTATGTGCCACCTTTAAAAGGAAAGCAGTGCTAAAAGAAGAAAGCTCATCGCGTGAGCTCATCACTCATGGCAGAGCGACACAGGAGATCATCTCTGAGGTGTGGCAGGGCAACGCACCCTCCTCCTTGTTATTGCTGCAGGTTTGTAACTGCAAGATGCAATGCCTGATCTCCAGTGAATGCTGATGGGCACAGCAGCCCACAGTCAGTACCAATTGCACAGACAATGAGAACTTGGATTAATTAATGCTGTCATCAGCCTTGCTACAGCCTGAGGACATTCGCTCTGGTTCGCTGGCACTGCCTGGCCGAATATTGCTTGGGGGCCTGGTCCGCCCCCCACCACCAGCTTGTCATTGAGAGGCCGGTGGAGGGACCAGCTCATCACTGTGCTCCTTCATGCCCTGGACACTGCCTCTCACATCCAGGGCAGCCACACTGCCACCAGCCACTGCACACAAGGCAGGAGGGAGGCATCACCCGCAGGCTGGAGCAAGAGATGGGAGCTGTCAGAAGGCAGAGGTGACGTCCACACCCGAAAGCCAGAAGGAGCAGGAAGCAGGGCAGACACAACTTGCTAACGGGTAAGAGGGTTAATGAGCAGTTTTACACCCAGGAGAAGCAGGGAGCTGGGAAGATCACCTGCAGGGCTGACAGACCATCAAGGGGTGCTTGAGTAAGACAGAGCTCTGCAGAGAAATCAATGATTTATTTGCTGGAGGGCAGGCAAGAAGAGGTTTCCACGCAGCAGCTTGTCTTGAGACAGAGTAAGGCTGCTGCTAATTGAAGTACCAGTTTAAAAACAGGCTTTTAGAGCAAATCAATGGAGGGAAGAAGTCTTCAGGGGCAGCAAGAGGAGCTCAACTATCAGAACGGCACATGAACTGCCACTGGGGTCACCCCAGCAGGACCCAGCTGGCAGTACCACACCACCCACCCCCAGAGTGCACCGGGGATGAGGAAACCCCAAGTTTCCACAGCAGCAGTGACCGGGGAGACCGGGCACAGCACTGGAGCTTGCATCACCCACCCCACAACACAGGGATTGACCAACACCAGGCACTTGGAAGACCTTACTGAGGCCATCACAAACACAGGGCCAGGCTGCACAGAGGGGTAGGCTCCCCTAAACACATAACTGCTTTAAACAGCAGCACACGACACCCCAGAGGACCTCGCTGGCGCAACCCGGCTACAAAAGAACCCTAAGCCCAAACCAAACTCAAGCTGGGGAACCACGGCCCCAGCGACTCCTTATAAGAGGCGCTCGGCCCTATCCCCTGCAGAACGCGCCTATCACAACGCAGCCAGCAGCGGAGTGGCAGCTCTATACCCAATCAGATACCGCAGGAGGCGGGTCTCTTCCTGTGGTGGGCGCCGTTGACGCTCGCCCAATCCATCCCAGAAGCGGCGGCTGCGCTTCCTGAGTGACATCTCGCCCTCCAATCAGCACTCGGTCCCCTCTTCCCGGCAGGGCTTCACCAATGGCCGCCTAATGACGTGCGCTCTCTCTCCCCGCCCCGCCCC